GTTTCTACTATGTATAGAAATGTTGCGCACTTTAATTTTTTATTGCCATTAAAAATATACAATGTGTATTTAGAAAATATCACTATGTTTTCGAAAATGTGTTCAAAACATGTATTTAATAAAATATACATCATGCATTTGAAAAATTGCCAGCGTGTATGAGAAAAATGTTTCACGTGCGCTCTAAAAACGTACACCGTGACCGTAGCTGTTCGAACCTACAGCGCGGAGCGAGCAAACCGCGCTAATAGGCCGGTCCGCTAGTTATCACCTGTAGGCGGTTCCTACTAGAAATTCGTATGGGCGACATATAGCACTGACGCTCCCTATCATCTGCAAAAAGATTAGGTTTTGTACAAACTGGACTCAGGATGCATTTCTTTTCTACTTACCGGGCTTCCATATGTGGTCGAGCTGACCCAGAGACGGTGTCAAGTCCTGCACATGTGCAGTTGGCCGCCGCATGTGGCCGCCCGTTTGTCCCATGTGGCGACGCGATGGCGATGGGATCCGTATTCTATGCGCCCCTCTCTACCTGGAGTCTATATCATACCCACAGTTCATCGGCCATAGCCATTTATCCTCTCCTTACTCCCACTCTAATTGGTAGCCGCCGCCGACGAGGCTACAGCACCGGCCGCTCGAGCGTTGACGCGATCTCCCTCGACTGGCGTGCGAGATCGTCCGTCCACAACGTGCCCCCACGCCGTATTTTCTGACTACCGGGCGTCAACGCCAGCTCTGCTCCGGCTACCCTGATTTTCCTGGCGCCGGAATCAGTCCGTTCCATATAGAGCCACGATGCCTTCCAGCTCCGACTCCGACCCTCTGCTCGCGCGCGCCGACGGCGACGGCATGACGGAAGAAGACGACGGCATCGACGTCGCGGCGGTGGACCACCGCGGCCGGCCGGCCCCCCGCGCCTCCACCGGCCGCTGGCGGTCGGCGCTCTTCATCATAGGCAAGTGCATACACAGTACAGTACACATGCAGCAGCCCAACAATTTCGTTTAGATTTGTGTGCGTGGTGATGATCGGGATCGGAACGGGGGGGTGCAGCGGTGGAGATCGCGGAGCGGTTCTCGTTCTACGGGGTGTCGGCGAACCTGATCAGCTACCTGACGGGGCCGCTGGGCGAGAGCAACGCCAAGGCCGCGGCCGCCATCAACGCCTGGAACGGCGTGGCGCAGCTGCTGCCGCTGCTCGGCGCCGCCCTCGCCGACTCCTGCCTCGGCCGCTACCGCACCATCCTCATCGCCTCCCTGCTCTACATCCTGGTACGCACGTAACGGCCGGCGCAAAACCAGTCATTTCTTTTTTTGCCTCGAGCAATTACCACCATTGCCTCAGAAGTTCACGGTGCCGGACCCAGTGTCAGTCGGACATTTCGGTGGTGGCGTGCTTGAATCGGTCGTGGGCTCGTGGCCATTTATGTTTGCAGCGCCTGAGATATTCTGGTCCAGTTCGCTATAGATTCTAGCTTGAATTTGACCGCAAGTTGGATGTTAAATTATGGTGAATTATTTGGGTTGTTGAGATTGGGCGAGTGGTCACAAATCTGATGACAGCTGAGTGGTCGAGGGTGCATGCACATGCGGACTACTCGAGGAAAGATAACATTCACCGGCGGCACACGTCCACGTCCACGAGTTGCACAAGCTTCTTCGGAAACACGCCAGATTTTCAGACATAAAAAATCGGACGTTTTTAATGAAAATTTATTTTGGTGTCGTGATGACAATTTTAATTTGTAAGCACGACAATTGTCTAACAGAAAGTGGATTGAGAATATTTCAGGCGCTGCAAACATGAAAAATATTTGATTTTCCATGGTGAAAAATCGGACATGAAATTTGTGGTGGAGTCCAACTTCTTTCATCCAAGTGTCCACTGATGCGTTGTGTTTAACGGAGTAGGGTTTATATTCCCTTCTTTTGCATTTTGTGTGCTATATGTAAGATGCTTGAAAAAAAAAGTTGAGCAACAGGTGCTTGAAAACAATGGCGGAGGCAGGAATGCATATAATTGGATGTTGGGAAGGGCCGGTTGTAGGTAACAGTAAAAAAATGTCACTGTTTATATGCATATTACCAAGGAAATTAAGATGTTGGGGTGGGCCCGGGCCTTGGCTGGGCCCCCCATGTGCCTCCGCCGCTGCTTGAAAATATGATTGGTGAGAGCAGTGCCGAAGCTTCTCAAGGGCCAACGTGGACTTGCCCAACCCATAATATTTTCGAGTGCCGCAGTTAGGCCGAACCGGGAGTGACCAGAAGCCGGGGACGTGTGGCAATGGCTTCACCAGTAGAGAGGAGTCCGAGGTTGATTGGTTCAAATCCAATCCGGAAGACAACAAGGTTGGAAGGGTGGTCGGGAGCGACGACAGACAACTTAGGAAGGCTGGGGCGGTGAGGCATACGTGGCAGGGCCGCCGGTCATGGGTGGTGGTGGCAGGCAGCACGACTGGCGTCAAAACAACTCTACGGCAAGAGAAAAACAAAGAGAGGAGAAGAAACACACTCTGGGGAAGTCAACTAATGCGGAAAAAAATCAGGCGGTCGGACATATAGTCTGTCTGTTTTTTCTTGAGTGGGGGAGTTGTTTTTTTCTTATTGGGACAGAGGAGAAAGTAGGTGACCTATTGCTTGTTGATGGGATTTTGGTTAGGGTAAACTTCGTCAAACAGTGCGTCTTTGTCTCATTTAGAGTGAGACTCTTGCCTTAGGAAACGTGCTAATTGGGCCTGCCCAATAGTGTTAGTTGCCCGGTCTCATTCTTTTCACTTCTGTTTATATTTTGCGACATTCCAAATAAATATATTCCAACAAAAAAGTTTAGTTACCCTTTTGAAAATGTTAAGTATGAATAAGAAAAATGTTAACGCGCTTTAACAATTTGTTAGCGAAATTGTAAAATAATGTTGATAGTATTCAAAAAACTATTTCTGACATATAAAAAATGTTCACATGTTTCAAAAATAATCTACATAATTGTTAAAAAATGTTTGTATAATGTAAAACATGTTTTTGTAATTCAAAAACAAAGTTTCATATCAATATGTTACATTTAAAAAATGTTCATGAGTTTCAAAAATATGTTTGTGACATATTTAAGATCTCTTGATACGATGTGAAAAATCTGATAGTTTACAATTTTATACCATTTGAAGTAATGTTTTAAAACATCTTTGAAAAAATGTTCAAAACATGTTTTTTAACTATAATTATGTATTAAAAACGTTAAACGTGCAAAAAATATTGTAGACATATATAAAAAATGTATAATGTGTATGTAAAAATAGATATCAAAACATACATTCTGAAAAAAATGTTAATCATGAACTTAAAAAATGTTAAATGTGAGTAATAAATGTTCTCATCAAAAATATACATTGTGTATGAAAAATTGCAGACCTGTGTTGATCTTTTTAAAAGGGCAAACCAGATGAAAGCAGAAGAAAAAACAAAGAAAACTTTAAAAATAAGTAAAAATGAGAAAACAGAGAAAAATAAAAAGACCCAAAGTAATCGATGCAAACAGTGAATACCGATAAGAAAACTACAAAGAAAAAAAACACGCGGCAGGTGCAGTGCTTGACCGGCCCAGGCCTCGCTTGATAAGAGGCATGAATAATAATAAGTAGTACTCCCTTTATTCACAAATATAGGATTGTTTTAACTATTCTTGAATTTGATGTCTCTCCATCTCATAGTGTAAAATGTTTTTTGCCACTAGCTAGTGTAGTGGCAAAAACCGTCTTATATTATGGGACGGTGGGAGTATATAGAGACTGTTTTGTGTTTTTGTTCACTTGTTTCGGTTTGTTGTCTATAAACATCTTATACTCCCTCTCTCACTAAATATAGACATTTCAGAGATTTCAATAGAGACTACATACAAATGTATATACATGCATTTTAAAGTATAGATTCACTTATTTTGCTCCGTAGTCTATATTGGAATCTATAAAAAGATGTATACTTATGAACGGAAGGAGTACTGTATAATTTTGGGAGGACGCAATTTCACTCTGCTCTTCTTTTTCCGATGTTTGATTCACGAGACAGGATCGTATGCATCACATTTCTAAATTTCTCACTCTGAAACTGCGTGCAGGGTTTAGGAATGCTGGCTCTCTCGACATTGCTCTCCCCCGGCAATCACAAATGCAGTAACACCGACGGCGGCACGCCCTGCCCGCCGCCGTCCGGTCTGCAGATGGCCGCGTTCTACACCTCCCTCTACCTGGTGGCCCTGGCGCAGGGCGGGCACAAGCCGTGCGTCCAGGCCTTCGGCGCCGACCAGTTCGACGCGAGCCACCCGCGGGAGGCCGTCTCCCGGAGCTCCTTCTTCAACTGGTGGTACTTCGGCATATGCGCCGGCACCGCCGTCACGCTCGTGTTCCTCAGCTACATCCAGGACAACATCGGCTGGGGCCTCGGCTTCGGCATCCCCTGCGTCGTGATGCTCTGCGCACTCGCCGTCTTCTTGCTCGGCGCCCGCACGTACCGCTACTACGCCTCCGACGGCAAGCAGCGGAGCCTGTTCGCTCGTGCCGGCGAGGCTTTTGGGGCGTGGCGGAGCAGACGGCGGAAGTCGAGTCCCCTTGCAGTCTCCGATTCGCATGAAGGCCGTCGACCCGCAACACAGGCGCCGGAATACAGGTAATTCGAAGTGTTTGACAGCGTGTTCGGTCGATGGAATGCAAGAACCCGACGTGGACATTGATATGCTTTCACCAAAATTTGCAGTGCTCAGGTCGACGAGGAGGAGCAGGGAGTGGTGGTCAGAAACGCGGACCTCGTCGAGGAAGTCAAGGGCGTCCTCCGGCTGTTCCCGATCTGGGCGACGTGCCTGATCTACGCCGTGGCGTTCTCCCAGTCGTCCACGTTCTTCACGAAGCAGGCGGCGACCCTGGACCGGCACGTGGGCAAGCGGGTCCAGGTGCCACCGGCGGCGCTGCAGAGCTTCATCAGCATCACCATCGTGGTCTTCATGCCCATCTACGACCGCGCCATCGTGCCGCTGGCGCGCCGCTGCACGGGCGTCTCCTCGGGGATCACCATGCTGCAGCGCATCGGCGTCGGGATGGTGCTCTCGCTCGTGTCCATGGTGGTGGCGGCGCTGGTGGAGACGCGCCGGCTCCGGATCGCGGCGGACGCCGGCCTGGCGGACCTGCCCAGGGTGCCGGTCCCGATGAGCCTGTGGTGGATGGTGCCGCAGTACGTGCTGTTCGGCGCGGCGGACGTGTTCACCATGGTCGGCCTGCAGGAGTTCTTCTACGACCAGGTGCCCGACAAGCTGCGCAGCATCGGGCTGGCGCTCTACCTCAGCATCTTCGGCATCGGCAGCTTCATCAGCAGCGGCCTCGTGTCGGGCATCGACAAGTGGACGTCGGAGAGGGGGCCGAGCTGGTTCTCCAACAATCTCAACCGCGGCCACCTCGACTACTTCTACTGGCTCATCGCCGCGCTCAGCGCGCTCGAGCTTGTGGTGTACGTCTTCTTCGCCGTTACCTTCAAGTACAAGAAGAAGGCAGCGGCAGCTGCCGTTGGTTAGAATTAGCAGTATATACTCGAGCTAGGCATAGGTTAAACGGAACTGCTAAATCTCAGTCGACGAGCTAGCCATTGGATGCTTTGGTCGTTTCAAGATTCGTGTTGGGTGCTTTATCCTATGTTTTGGCCTATATAAAGCGCCGACCGGCCCGTTTTTCTTTTTTTTAGTCAGAGCGTCATCGCGCTTGCCTTTTGTGGGCTGGACAGGTGCTAGGGTGGGCCTTTTTGTTTGTTTGTTCTTTTTTTTTACTGTCTTGTTTTTCTGGCCGCAGTAAAGAAATGGAATGGGAAGCGGCGGCCGAGAGCACCCCGTGGCCAGTAATCAGTCCATTTCTTCCTCTATCTCTCTGTTCTTTCTCTGTCAAAAAAGCCAAAGATCTCTGCGGTGGAACGAAAGAAATCGCCTTTGCTCCTGAACGGCCAGCGAGAGCCTGGGCGATGCTGCTAGTGGAGTAAGTGTTACCCTCTTTCCTCCAATTTTTTTGTTTCTTTGTTGGCGCTCTGCTTCAGATCTGAGGGGATTGGGTTCCATTTTTTGTTTGGATCAAGTCTAGATTACTAGCTTGAAGCATGGAATCCCTCCCAGATTTAGTCCTTTTTTCGTGTCCTTTTTCTTCAAGCAGTGGTATGTAGTGCGTCCATTTTTTGTTTGATTTTTTTTTCAGATTGCCGAAACCCTTGTGCAATCAGTAGCATGTTGAAATCATTATGTGGAAACAAGAGGATTAATACTGAACCTATCACTAGGAGTGACATGTTTTTTTTTTCAGATTTTGCTGACACCCTATTAATCAGTAGCATGTTGGTGAAGCAAGGGGTCGGGCATATGAGGACCTCTACCAACGGTTAGGCACGAAGGAAGGTGAAAGGGACATCTATAAGATGGCTAAGATCCGGGAGAGGAAGACGAGGGATATTGGCCAAGTCAAATGCATCAAAGGACGGAGCAGGCCAACTCTTGGTGAAGGATGAAGAGATTAAGCATAGATGGCGGGAGTACTTCGACAAGCTGTTCAATGGGGAGAATGAGAGTTCTACCATTGAACTGAATGACTCATTTGATGAGACCAGCATGCGTTTTGTGCGGCGCATCCAGGAGTCTGAGGTGAAGGAGGCTTTAAAAAGGATGAAAGGAGGCAAGACGATGGGCCCTGATTGTATCCCCATTGAGGTGTGAAAAGGTCTCGGGGACATAGCGATAGTATGGCTAACCAAGCTTTTCAACCTCATTTTTCGGGCAAACAAGATGCCAGAAGAATGGAGACGGAGTATATTAGTACCAATCTTCAAGAACAAGGGGGATGTTCAGAGTTGTACTAATTACCGTGGAATTAAGCTGATGAGCCATACAATGAAGCTATGGGAGAGAGCCATTGAGCACCGCTTAAGAAGAATGACAAGCGTGACCAAAAATCAGTTTGGTTTCATGCCTGGGAGGTCGACCATGGAAGCCATTTTCTTGGTACGACAACTTATGGAGAGATATAGGGAGCATAAGAAGGACTTGCATATGGTGTTCATTGACTTGGAGAAGGCCTATGATAAGATACCGCGGAATGTCATGTGGTGGGCCTTGGAGAAACACAAAGTCCCAGCAAAGTACATTACCCTCATCAAGGACATGTACAATAATGTTGTGACAAGTGTTCGAACAAGTGATGTCGACACCAATGACTTCCCGATTAAGATAGGACTGCATCAGGGGTCAGCTTTGAGCCCTTATCTTTTTGCATTGGTGATGGATGAGGTCACAAGGGGTATACAAGGAGATATCCCATGGTGTATGCTCTTTGCGGATGATGTGGTGCTAGTTGACGATAGTCGGACGGGGGTAAATAGGAAGTTAGAGTTATGGAGACAAACCTTGGAATCGAAAGGGTTTAGGCTTAGTAGAACTAAAACCGAGTACATGATGTGTGGTTTCAGTACTACTAGCTGTGAGGAGGAGAAGGTTAGCCTTGATGGCCAGGTGGTACCTCGGAAGGACACCTTTCGGTATTTGGGGTCAATGTTGCAGGAGGATGGGGGTATTGATGAAGATGTGAACCATCGAATCAAAGCCGGATGGATGAAGTGGCGCCAAGCTTCTGGCATTCTCTGTGACAAGAGAGTGCCACAAAAGCTAAAAGGCAAGTTCTACAGGACGGCGGTTCGACCCGCAATGTTGTATGGCGCGGAGTGTTGGCCGACTAAAAGGCGACATGTTCAACAGTTAGGTGTGGCGGAGATGCGTATGTTGAGATGGATGTGTGGCCACACGAGGAAGGATCGAGTCCGGAATGATGATATACGAGATAGAGTTGGGGTAGCACCAATTGAGGAGAAGCTTGTCCAACATCGTTTGAGATGGTTTGGGCATATTCAGCGCAGGCCTCCAGACTATTAATCAGTAGCTTGTTTTGAAGCCATTCTCTGGAAACAAGAGATTATTACTGAACCTATCACTAGGAGTGGGCTTGTATTTTTTTGTTTTTTCAGATTTTTGCTGAAACCCTATTAATCAGTAGCATGTTCAAATCTTTCTAAGGAGTCAAAGAGAATGATTACTAAACGTATTTTCTAGGAGTATCATTTTTTTTGTTTTTCAGATTTTGCTGAACCCTAGAATCAGTACCATGCTCTAATTTTTTCTATGGAATCAAGATAATGATTACTGAACCCATCACTAGCAGTGGCATGTTGATTTTTAAATTTTCATATTTTTACTCAAACCCATTTTTCTGGTGTGGTACTGGTTTTTTACAGTTTTGTGCAGGTGCAAAAGCTCAACAGCACTAGAGCTGACCTGATTGATCTATACATGTGTAGGACCATAATTAGTACTACGAGTACTACTAATCTTTTTTTGCTTTGTAGGTACTTAGAGATTAATTAGGATCTTTGGCCGAGAAGACCTGGAATAGTATTGAGCAAAAGTACTGCCAGTACTGCTATTTTTATGCTATGACTTTTTGAGAGTCATTAAATCAGGGGGACTTCGTTTGCAGGAGAACAAATATTAATTAAGCCCGTTCTTCCACGCTTCTATACAGGAGGAGCATGTGTTTTTAGGGTGCTTAAGTTGACCTTTTGTTAGGATATAACCTCTACTAGTCATTCTTTTTTTTTGACAACTTGATCCCGCTGTTGTTTCTGCTGAGTGCTAATACAGCAGGGATATTTGCTGGCACATGCCCCTAGTAGTTTGTCACCACTGCTACTAGGGGCATGTGCGAGCAAATAATGGCGCATTAGATTAATTAGGGGCAGGAGTAGTTCTTTTTTGTTGTGTAAATAATGGCACTTAGCATCTGGTAAGCAGGGTTTGGGTTCACACAGTCATAAACCTACAGGAATAAATGCTGAAATCTAGATGTTTTGCAATTATTCATTTTCTAGTTATGCTTTTCTGAATCCAGTTTTTTAATTTTTTTTCGTATTTGTGTTGTTAGTGAATTACCCATTTAATTATTTTCTTTTTTGCTTCTTTTTTATGCGCACAGGAGATGGCTTGTGGAGTTTGTTTAAACCATTGCAACTATGAGAGTGAGGGAAGCGGTTTCAGCATGTATGTATAGGAGCACTTCAAAAACGCAGGGGTAACTCACTAGCTTCTTTTTTTAATATATTTTCTCATTTTTTATCCTTTGTTTCTTTTTATATTAGTCTTTGTCATGACACCACTACTAACTTTTGTTCTTTGCTTTTTTGTGTTCAACCAAAATAGGTTGTGCCATGCAATGAAAGGGTCCGTCTCAACAACATGATGGGAGCGAGGGTGACGTTTGTGGCAAACCAAATACATAATTCAAATCTGAACTGAAAATATGAACTTTAAGCTTTTTGTAGGGTTTTTAGTTTTTGTAACTCTGAACTGCATTTTTTCAAGTATGGATGTACATGTTTTCCAGTTTTCAGCTTTTCTTTTTTGTTTTCGGTATACTTCAAGTAAAAATCTGAAATTGTTTTACTTGTTTTTGTTAGATTTTTTACTATGTTTTTTTGTTATAATACACATTTTACATTCTTTTTCCCTGGAGAGGTTTTTTTAGGAATGACAGTTTGATAGAACACTCATAATTGTCTTACAGTTCAACCCTCGACTCTTAATTTGGGGCTTTTTGTAGTTTTGTAGTTGCACCCTGGGACCCTGCTCCCAGTTGCATGTCAACTATTGGCACTCAACTAGGCTTTTTTCATA